AAGAAGTTTCAACAGCCGAAAAAACACTACGGTCAACGGTTAAGCTACCCTCGGTTCCACAATACGAAAATTTTTTGGTCAGACAAAACAAAAAAAAAGGCAAGTGACATGTCTTGTGGTACCTTTGAATATATTCGTCCTGCGATGAGCATCGACGGCTGTAGACGACAGCTATGCTTTCGTCGACGAACGCCGTCGCCAAAAGGCCGAGATATAATATCTCACGGGAGATACCAGGTAACAAGTACCACCTGAGACATCGCCAACATAGCGTCACCTGAATGAGACCAAGCTCCAACATAGCTCCCAGCTAGCGAGCCCATTTTCCCCAGCGCTTCACCAATTCCGGCGATTCGATATATCCATGGTCGCCCACCATCTTTCCAAGCTCGCTAGCTTTGGAGCTAGGAGCTTCGAGCTTCCAATTCGCAGCAGGATCTCAATCGCAATCCTGCAAGGCTGGACCTAGCTCACTATGATAAACCCGAACGGCGCTAGAAGTTCGCAAGAAATTTTTCGTGTCTTGAAAACGTTGGTCCAATCGAAATCCACAACGTCAACTTTAGAAGCTCTAGAAGCTTGTAACGATGAGCTCATGATGTAACGGTTGAAGCTCGATCTCGAAGTCCTGAATTGTATGATCCTGTGACTCCGACCATCATTTTCAACGACCAATTGATCGTATCAGATTGTTCTGATATTATGTTTCCGATAAGGGCAGAGAGTATTATCCATTGGCCAGCCTTGAGCTCATCCCTCGTTGGACTGTGGGGACTCTCTGGACAGCTGCGCCCTCTTGAGCTGGTCCCAGAATCATCGGTCCTGCATGAAACGTCTACTAGGTGCATTCTCCCCCAACCGTGAGGAAAAAGAAAGTACGGTGGCCCCGGTGCAACTCGCATTTCTCTAAGCTTCCCAAGCGCCTGAGCTGGCCTTATTGTTGATTTCCATCCCGTTGTTCGATTCGCGCGGAAACAGAAATTCTCTTTGGGGGGCGACCTCGTCATACCTGCATGAACACGCCTTGTACCCTCGTGGTACCCATCCAGCACCTATGACCCTGCTTGGCTACTCCGTGGTTACCTTGGGTTATTCTCCGCACTCTTAAGTGTGTCCCGGAACCCATCTGCAGCAACCTGCATTTTGGAAAAGAAAAGAAAAGAAAAGAAAGGTAAAAAAATTTTAAAAAGGAAAAGGCTAACGAGGCTTGTATGCGCAACGACGTGGACAATTCATCGACAAGGGACGACATAATATCAAATTTTCGAAGAAAAAAAAATTGTTGGATTTGATGACTATCCTACAATCGATGTCCTTGTACCTCTTCGAGGTCTTCAAGCTGTTCAATTGAACTTACGGAGATGCCCTTTTGCTTCAATTGAAGCTTCCTTCTACTCAATTGGATTCCAGCGGTTCAAGAGCTATCTGCTAGTCCATTCCATCGAATCGGATTTATCCAATCCGGGCTTTTCGGCCGTCTTCGAGCTACCCATCTCGACCCATCGTGAAGGAGGTGGGCGACTAGTCTCAGCTGTATATTCCACTATCTCTCTTTTGATATCTTTGCCATCCGCGACCTCCTACCTTCTTTTCTTTTTTCCCAGACGATCTTCTTAACCTTCCTCAATCCTGGCTGGTACCCACTTACACCTGGAACCTAGCTATAATCAATCCTCCTCGACATTAGAACATATACCTTGTCAAGTTTGCCTTCTCTAGGATCCTCGTCCTTCCTGCACTCCGTATCTCTTACGAGAAAGGATATCCGGTCTAACCTACAACCAACCTATCTATTGTCGCCTTCGCAAATCACATCCCGTCTCCGTATAACCCTGGCCCACTTCATCTTCCTCCATTGACCCCCCTTAGACCAATAGCCTTCGCAAACGGCTCCCCATATCGGCTATACTCGCTCTTACCCCCCCTCTTCCCTCGATGGCTTATGATCACAAGCGTCCCCTCCATCCCCCCTCTAGGGTTCAGACCTTTCCCTTCGTCCTTTACCATGGAGGGAGCCGTGTCTCCCCGTCCAGGGGGGGTATAAATATGCCTGCTCGAGGAGGGAAGGAAGAGATTCTCTCCTTTCCCTCAAAATATTCTGTCTCGTAGTCTAATCCTCGCAATTGACCTGCTCCATTATCAATATCATTAAGACTTAAAGCTTCATTGCTTCAAGAGTTTCAGTAAATTATTACTCTTACTACTTATCCCCACCTATTAGCCTATTCAGCTCGGCTACCTTGAGCTCTTCGTGTTACGAAGTGTAACCTTTGATCACCGTTTATAAAAACTTTCTCATCACCACCTTTCCAACTCTCTCACTCTCCCCTACCTTTCACTCATCACCACCACACAAAACCATACGCAATGGCCTCCCGTATGATCAAAGAAGAGCGAGCAGCCCGCAACGAGCGTCTCCGTCGCGCTGGTAAGTCCAACACTCTCAGCTATATCTTAGCTCCTCCGGGAAAAAAAACCACTCTAGCTCAAAACCGTACTAACCGAACTTTCCACATTTTTTCCAGACGAAGCTCGTAAACACCTTACCCACGAAATCACCGTTCTCGGTGAATCTCTCGACATGGATCTCCGCGACAGAATCTCGAATATTCATTCAAATGCGAATGCGCTGGAAACCCAGAGCAAGCAGTTGAAGTCGCGGACGCAAGCCATGAATAAGACTTCGCGACAGTGGAGCGCTCTTGCCGAAAACGGCAGGGGAAGACTCAAGGTAAAAACCTCCCCCATTTTCTTCGCGATGGTTTTGGCCTGAAACTCGGTTTCTACGAGAATTGAGAAGGCTAATAATTGCTGCTTTTTTTCGCGACAGGAAATCGGCGATGTCCAGAATTGGGCTGAGATGATCGAACGCGATCTGCTGATTCTCGAGGAGACGCTGAGAATCGTGAACGATGAGGATGTTGAAGCTTATTAAAAAGCCGACGACGTCTAATCCAAAATTCACTTCTCCCATCGATTTCATATTCGATGGAAATTTTTTACGAATCACACCACCGCAAAAAAACATGATACCCTCTTCGTTTTCCTTTGTACAACAAAACTCATCATCAAAACCTTTTTGCTTTTCGGAACCGGTGTTTCTGGGGGGAATGGAATGGAATGGAACGTCAAAGGGAGAGTACGGTTGAAATTAGCTTTTTTTTCCTCTTCATTCAACGACGTCCCTGTTTTTTGAAAATGTGTCTCATCTCGCTTCTGCGGCTTCCTGCATCTTGCATTATTCTTTCATTCCTTTTTATATTTCATTAAAAAAACCCGGGTACTTCACCGGTACCTTACTTTTTTGGCCCTGTACCTTGCCTGCAAGCCTCACCGTCCTGCATATTGCCAATCTCCAATCTTTTTCACGCAAGCGATCTGCGGGAACGCGGGAACGCTAGTGGTTTGAGATTTTTTTTTCGGACCCGCTGGTCTGGAAAGGGGACCCACTGGGATGAGATATGTGGGAAAGACTAGCCGGGGCGATGAGCTGGCGGGTGGGAGATGCGAGCGGGATGGGCAAAGGGTGTGTGGGTGGATTTTCCGCTAGAAGGGGTGGGGACTTTGGGGGATTGGTTTCTTTTTTTTGATCTGCTTCCTTGATATTTTCCCTTATTCCATCTATTTTCCGATTCGAAGAGACGGGTCCCCCGGGTAACAGGTTTAGGGCGGCCTCCACTGGGAGACCGGAGTAAGCGCCGGAAGGTGCTTGACCCCCTCCCGCGCTCTGACTGGCTGTGCCCCCCGGGTGGAATCTCGAGGCTCGGGAAAACGAGAGGAAAGAGGGGGATACGAGGAAGGTGGATTAAGGAAGGAAAAAAAAGTCACATTTTGTTCAAAAGAAGATTTTCCTTCTGTTTAGCGTTATATAGCGTGTATTTAGCTTGCTAGCGTTTGCCTTGTGACCTTTTCTTCTATATAGTTGCTAGTCGAATCGACCTCGTTAAACCGATGATGTATTGCTCTTCCCGTAGGAACTTATAGTACTAGCCACGTCGTTTAATTTGAGTAGTCTGATATTAGTGCCCCTTGTGACTGTGTGGCTAGTGTTAGTCTCAACCTTGGATGGGGTGCTGTAGATCATGCGGAGGCTTAGCGTGGTGTTTTACCTTCGTCTCGAAAGGGGGGGTTGGACCATAGGGCCAATGGTAGGTATTATGTTAGTAGATATTGCCATGACGGTACTGCGCATACATATATAAGCCTTAGTATCTATTCACACGCATCTGGCTCTCTAGCTAAGAACATCCTTTCACGCAGAAACGATTTCACCACTGGTACAGTGGGCCGGCAATTCGGCCCCGGTATTTTGAAGAAAAAGACGAGATGGGATGTAATAACACGGGCTACATTACAAAGCCCTATATACAAGTAGGGCAATATCGGAAGACGCTAATATGCCGTCTAAATATGCTCCTTTCGAGGCCCGATTGTCACTTCTAAAATGCCTTGACTGTGTAGAGAATATAGTGTTGCAGCTGTTGTATATTTAGACCCCTGCCAGTGAGCTTCAATAGCTCCAGCCAGTACGGCACACCATAGCGACAAGTGGTGCTCAAGAGTAAATAACGTAAACAACTGAAATCCAATAGCTTCACAATACAGTATTTACGGGACCGGTAATATAAGAAAGGTATTTCCAGCTAGGAGTTAGATTTGGCATTCCATTTTGTTCAGGGCAGGGAAAAGTCCTTTTACAACAACTATCTGTACATACCGCTTTCCCGAGTAATATAAAGGTACCAGGACGACTCAAGGCTCTAGCTGTCTGGAGGAATTGTGTCAACATATAAATCGCCCGAATTTTGATATATGAGCTATCGAAAGCATTGTTATCGAAGCCCTATGCGAGAAAATAGGTAGCGATATCAAATGCAAGTACAGCGTTATTTCCTAGAATATGAATGAGGTTCTGAATGCACATGCCTAAGCCAATCACATGACCTAGTCAACTCTAACATCCTTCACATGACGTAATTGGGTCGACGTCTTCATCGAAAGCGTCTGTGGTGTAACGGTTATCATTATTGCCTTCCAAGCAATAGACCCGGGTTCGACTCCCGGCGGACGCAATCACTTCTTCTCTTTTTTTGGTTTATTTTTTTTTTTATATTTCCCCATTCCTCCAAGTTTGGTCGGTAGCCGATGACAACTCGGTGAGCTCCCTTCCCTTTTTTTTCCTTCTTTTTCACTGCACCGATTGCAACAAGCCTCAAATAAGCCAATTCTTAGGCTGAAGTTCATCCAATCAGCGTCTGTAGTGTAACGGTTATCATTATTGCCTTCCAAGCAATAGAACCGGGTTCGACTCCCGGCGGACGCATCCGCTCTTCTTTTTTTTTTAAAAAAATTTCACTTCGAATTTTTTTTTTTTGGAAGCTTGTCAGGACGGTGTGGTCTCGGCTAGCCCAGTCTTGGCACTAGAACATCTTGTCACGAGTTAGCTATAGCGAGCTTCAACTTCACTTCCAATAGACTACCTCATACCCACTTCCCACGATCCCAACCACTCCCCTGAAGAAGGGGGTTAGTACTATATAACTTCACAAGGACATTCGTCTCCCTCGATCAGTCTCCAAAGAAGTAAAAAAAAAAAAAAAAATGACATCGTCAACCCACCCACCGACGCTGACAGCGACATACACCCACCCCACCACCTCTCCCCACAGCATATCAATCCCCCTCCCCCCGCCTCCAACACCTCAAATCTCAACATCTCACTCAAAACACTCCCATAACGACCCCACGGGTACCCTACAGCCCGAACCACTCCATTCGTCACCGGGGAAAACAGCTACAAGAGCTCATTTAAAGGCTTTAAGGGATGTGGTGAAGGAAGTTCAAACGGAGATGAATACGTTTTTAACAAAGAGGATGGAAGAAGAGAAGGCTGAAAGTTTAGCACTTGGTGGTAATGAGAAAGGCAAGAGTAACAATGCTGCCAAGGCGGCAGAGTATATGGAGAGAGATGGAGAAGTCGAGGAAGAGATGGATGATGAAACTAAGGCTCTGGAAGCCGAGGTTGAAAAGCTGAGACGAGAGGAAGAGGATGAGAGGATAGAGAAGGGTAAAGGAAAGAAAAGGAAGAAGGGGAAGGAGTAGAGATGATTGAATGGGATTTTGAAGAGTGTGTATGATAGATGACTGAATGATACCCTGCTAGATCATTTGCTTTTGCTCTCAAGATTCCGTGCAGTAGCTCTCAACGTCGTCTTTCTCTAAGTATGTGTCAAAGGAGCTTGACATATGAACAGGTGACTAAGTAGGTAGGAGACTGGTTGATAAATGGTATGGAATTTACGGACACTACGGGTCGATGGTTCCGACATAGGCTTACCAACAGACAGGCCCTATGCATAGGCACTCGCAAAGAAAAGTCTTGATTGCTGTTATACGATATGAATAATTATCAATCCGTCACTGTAGTATATTCGAACGGAAGAGCAATACTATGCACGCCTCTAGACTACTATCCCACAATAACGCCTAAGAAACAAAACGCCGTTATTACAGAAAGGTACAAATCCACATCAGTTGAAAAACAAGTTTAGTAAAAGGAGAAAAAAAGTCAAAGAGTTAAGAGTAAAAGTTCAAAAGCAAAAGTATTCACCACTCCGTCTCCATATCTTCGTCCTCGGGCGGAGCTCTAAGTGTAAGGGTTTCATGGCCCTCTTCTTGACTCGGAGCCACAGGAGACGAATCGCGATAAAACAAAGACCGATCAAAATCATCATCCGTTTCGTCGTCCGGTTCCTCTTTGACCGGTCGTGGCAACCCATCATCACTCCCTTCAGCATCATCTTCATTACCGACGTCCCTTCCGTCGACTTCCATAGGGGCGTATGCCTGATTCTGAGCTCGTAGGGTTGCTGCAGCGGAATTCTGTAAAGGCACCACTTCATCCTTGATCCAATCAGCATTATCTGATTCATCCGCACTGACACCTTCTCCTTCATCCCCGTCGTCGAACATCCGCTCTAGGTCTGAGTCGGCCTCGTCGAATTGATCATCCAGAAGTAATTTTCCGTGTAGCAGCAACCCGAGTTGGGTCAGATCGGTCTTCATTCCCTTCCGTCTCATCGCAATCAGTTTTTGCATACACTCCACCGGAGACTTTTTAAAAGTGCTCTTGAAATCTCCACCATCAGTCCGACGGCGATGACCCTGAGGAACAAATCCATCTGCGTCATATTTGGAATCTGGATGCAATTCGGGTGTTCGTAGGCCAAGCCACTCAGCGGAGTGTAGGTATGCAGTGGAGTGGCGGAAGTACAGCTGACCGGCGAATAAGTTAAGCTGATCTAGCAAGGCAGACGGGATTTTCCAGGTACGAGGGTACGCTTTTCCGACGTTCATCCACTTCAAGTCTTCGAATGAGGGCATCGACTTCGTTACTCGAGGCATGTAAATGTGTAAATGCACATGATTAGAGCTTCTGATCCGATCGATCAACTGGTTGGCTTCAAAGGGGCTAATGATCAAGAGTGTGGTCTTCTTCTTCTTGGCATTTCCTTTAACACAGCTTAGTATATACGACACAGGACGAATGAAATCATCCTGTTGGTCGATTTGACGTCCACCTTCGAGCCCTGTGGACATCTCTACCGTTTGTGCGAAGTCGCGAGTTACCAGAAGCTTCGTTGACCATGATCCCGGCCTTACTAGACCTCGGACCGAAGTAGTCCGTAGAGAAGTTATGGCTGGTTCTGCGGCCGGAGACTTCTTTGGAAGATTGCCCGTCGTTACGAATTTGACGATATCCTTGTGGAGATTGTGAAGGAGGGGTTTGGCAGGCACTGGTCGTTCGACTTGTCGTTCCTTCTCAGCTTCCTGTTCGACCTCGCGCTCCTGTTCTTCATCAAGGTCTCCCGTAAGTGCGTCGAAATTCTCGATATCGAACATTTTGCAGTGCTCTATAATCCGAGCGACGGTCGGATGATTCGCGATATTAAGGCGAGACATCCTGTCGATATAGCTCCCGTTCGATGAAGGCTGCAAGTCGTAGAGGTCGCTTAGTGACATCTTTTCTTGTTCGAAGAGACGCCTTCTGAGCACTTTCCATTGTTGCATCATTTCGTAATTCATCCGTGCGACATGTCGCTGCGCGTAGTTGACCCCCTGGGCTGCCCAGAGTTCCGCATTCTTCTTTGTCTGCTTACACGTTTCCCTCAGAGCCCACTTCAGTACGTCGACATTCTCCACCTTGGATTTTCCACTTGAAAGAGCGAGGATCTGAGTCTCAACATCAGGCGGAGCACAGAATACCACAGAATGACCTTTCCCTAGCTTTCGCATCCTCATTGCACCCTGAACCAGCCGATCCTTGCTTGTCTTCGGTCCTAGCGTGATAAGGGCCCGGCTTCCCAAGGGAAATTGCAGGTCTGTTCCACGAGTGTGGGCGTCGTCGAGGTAACATAAGCAACTCTCCATCTGTTTTGCGAAGTTGGAAATCATCAAGAGTTGCACCCTTCCCGCTAGGTCAACCACGCAAATCTCGTCTTTCGAGTTGAAGAAGATTGCGGCCTGCCATCTTTCAGGATTAGCTTTTGAGGCCCTAGAAAGCCATTCCTTTGCCACTTCTTCGTTTTCCAATTCGAGAACCTGGGCACCAACGTCGAGGAGGACTGATATTGGCGGGTTTTGAGCAACGACTGCATCCAATAGTTCCTGAACTGTCATCTTCTGTTTCGTGCGAGGTATGGCGGCTCGCATAAAGAAGTTATTCTCAGTCGCAAGAAGGTAATTTAAGACCAGGGCGTTCGTATGCTCGTGGGTTTCAAGGTCCTTCTGCTCGATCGACAAGGGCAAAAGATATTTGTTATCGTTTGTCCCTGAGAACCCGGACATAAGATGAGCTTTCGTTTCTACAATATCCCACCCAGAGCTTGTGAGCTTGTATGGGAATTGTTTCGAATATCTCGGGAAGATAGTATTCTGGAGATAAAAATCGATAACTTTCTTATTACGCTCGAGAACTGGAAGTAGGAAGTCGGAAAACTCATCGGGATTGTCGAGATTCACACCTAGATGGAGAATTAGCTTGGCTGCATGCCCTTTGAATTCAACTAAACATACCTTTAAGTGATTTTAGGTGCTCGGGAATAGCCTTGGTTGTTTCAATCCACTTGCGGTACTCATCCTCGGGGTTATCCGCTGACCTAACAGCCTCAATGCATTCTTTGACTTCGCCGCCAGTGAGGCCGTAGTTGTACCAGGATAAACATGTCAAGCAAAGTAGAACTTCTGGGTGTGCAAAGTCGCTCGCGCTGCTAGGTGTATCCTTCGCTTTGAAGGGGACTGCTAGGAGAGTGCGACCGAAATCCGCACCGTAATCTACCCGCCAGCGTTTCTCCTGGAGGCAAAATCTCATAATATCGTAGGCAAATAGTCCACGGAACAACAAAGCGGCAGCAAACATGTGGCCACCACGAAGCGTCTCCTTGAGCTCTGCGATATCTCCCTCTGGAAAGTCCCTCTCCGTAACGAATTTTAGGATCATCTTCATTCCTTCTGGGGACACGGTAGTGAACCATTGACGGTCGGGGTGGTTGCCAAAGATCAGTTCCAAAACGGTACTTTTCATCAAAGCTTCAGCGGCTTTGGGTTGCAATACACGAAGATATGGGAAACTGTTGCTGTTCTTGGAGGACATTTCGAATCCGTGTGGGAATTTGGATTGGAGGTCTAGGGCTTGGTCTTTGATCACATCAAATACCTTCAGAAGATCTAGCCAACGGTAGGGCTGGTTACTCATTGGTTGCTGGGTGCCGACTGTGTAGACCAAGGTATGGTTCACTCGTAAGATTTCGTCTATTTCAAGGGTTTAGTTCAGGCTCGGTCACAAAAAATGGTTAAGATATCAAAAACATACCACTCTCGTCAAGTAGATCGCGGGAATTCGCATCCAGCCATTGTTGAGCTTCATAAAGCTCTGGGCCAATGTGTGGTTCATCTCCCTCCATACAAATTTTCTCCAGACCGAGTAATTTGAACGACAGAAGGTGCTCGTTTTGGACGAGAAGGATACCACCATCAGCCATACACTAATATCAATTTTAATTAATGTCCACAA